TTCTTCTCATTCTAATCATTTATATCAATTTTTACCTTCCTAAATTCAAAAAATTTTCGTATCGGTAGGATCAGTATTTCGTGCTTGTATAAGACGGGTGGGGGAGGTCTGCGGAGAATAGAGAGAAATAAGGAGATATTTTCTCAACTACTTAAGAAGGGAGATAGTGAGACTTACCCTAATATAAAAAGATTTTCCTATAATCTATCGTTAAATCGAAACGAAAGAATAGTTACGCTAGATTTCGTGATATGAAAGGGTTTCATATAATATGCTGCAGTTCGCAGCATGCCACTCACGGCACGTAGAAGGACTACACAGAAGCTAGACGCAGCACACCACACACAGCAGACGACACAGAGCACACGCTCTCGGAACATGCACATGTAGGCTTATCCGATCCTATAATTTAAGCTTTCTTCCATATGTAGATCATATCCCTACCTATCTGGATGATAAGGGTTGTATAAGCTCAAAGCGATGCCCAATCAAACAACAATCCATGACCCCATTCGAGTCTGTCAGGATTGAGGCCCAAATCGACGGGTATCTGCATTTCTGAAAAACACTCTAGGCCCTAGGATTTTGAATCGTCGGTTGGGCAGCACCAGACGTCAGCGTAAGACTGGTCAGCATTAGCAGCTTCTGTGAGACTGGCGGAGTCCGCACTACAATGCACTACATATACACATGCCATCCATCACCAGGAGTGCCACGTCCCTGCACGACACAGCCTGGATGATGTACAACGAAGGCGTGTGGCTTAGAGGAAGTCTCGCACAGCTAGCTGGCAATTTGCCGCGCTGCGAATGCAGAAGATTTCCCGTTTCGGCGGCGCCAGCTTCCAAGCGCAGAGCTCTCTGCTTGCTCGGACTCTAGGAGTCTAGGACTGCTTTGAAAACCAAAACGAGGATGGATAAGAATCTGCTGGCTTGCCGAGGCCTGCAGTGTGGTTGCAGGCTTTGGCATCAGAACCGCACAACTAATTGGTCTTTCGACCGCATGCAGGTCGAGCTGTTGGAAAGTGGATCTCGGAAGAGCTCTTGCGAAGTGCTACTGTGCCACAGGCGCAGGTGCCCATGACGTGAAGCCGACTTCCACTTTTCACATCTGCTCCCTACCTTAAGGTGCAACTTCAAAGTGACTTTGAGGTGCCCTTACTTCACCTTACGAACGCTTCTTCTATCCGATGGGTTTAAGTAGAGGTTCCCGGCGGGTATCCGCTCCAGCCCTCTCAGTGAATCTTACTCTGGGCAACCTGAGCTCGGATCAGTGCAGAGTGAGCCCCGCCTCTGAACAGGCTGGAGAAGCAAGCGGAAATTGAAGCCTTCTGCACTTGCGATATAACACAGAGTACTGTCAGATCCTTAACCACGGTGCTGCTGGCCTCCTGCCGAAGCCGCCTTTGCCAGCCGAGGGGCAGGTCCATGCTCGAAAATAGGCCTTCTCGTCCTCCGTCGGTGGGCCGGTGTGGACGAAGGAGGTGCAGCGGATCTTGGTGGACTGCCACTTGGCAATTGTAATGGCTGGTGGACATGCTGCACATGTACTCGGCCCTCTGGGGTTGGAGCAGGTGCTGTTGAGACGACTGGCCTAAGTGTTGTCAGCGACTTCTGACAAGTACTGCGGTGTATCTTCAAACACCCAACTGTGGTAGTGGTCATTCTGCGACTGGACTCCTAGGCCGAGCTCGATGCATAGAAACGGATGCCGTTGTGGAAGCCGTGTCCACCGAGCGCCGGCCTGGACTTTGCTTTCTGACAGCAAGGAGAGCTGGCTGTCGGCGTCCTGTCCGAGACTCAACGGCTCCAAGGCCCAAGCTTGAAGGCTTGTACTCCAGGTCATCCTGCAGTCTGCATCAACCACAGAACCATGGAGAGTGGACGTCAGATATCCGGGCACTGGACCTATTGGCTGAACTATGCATTCACTCTTGTTCGGCTGATCCGGTACATCTAGCTTGCTTCGACGTGTGGTTCTGACTGCGTGCAGGTGTCCGACAAGCGACATACAGTACCGCAGCAGACATTGGCTGCTGTGAGTGCTGCGAGTGCTGGATGCAAGCTCAATGTCAGGAGTCTAGAGTCTGGAGTCTAGACCCGAAGAGTCCCAAAAGGCCCTGAGCACTGGGACTGTAGGTGTTTGTCAGCTCGCATCAGGCGTCTGGCATCCTGGCACAAAACCCAGAAGGCAGCCAAACGTAGGTCCTGGTCGAAGGAGATAGTGGACAGGAAAGGCAGATCCTCGGGAACCACACCGACAACTGTTTATTTCCTCCGCCTCTGCCTACACCATCTCCATGCAAGGCTTGACAAGGGTTTCAGGAAGTCAGGGTCGAACAAAACATCTGGGGACACTGCCGACACGCTCATCACAGACGGCATGTGGAACATCAGGCGGGCCTTGGCACAGTTACAGATCCGCATCCGTCAATTAAGGTCATGTCTCCAAGTCTCGGTCAGTTTTTCAATTCAGGCTTTTGCAGGTGTGATTTGCTGGCAAGTCTGACAGATGTTTGGCGTTGTGTTGCCAAGGACTGAGGGCAACGCGGCTTGAGCCTCTGCTAGCCACTGCCTCAGACGGGCAGAGTCTGCAGACTTCATGGATGATCAAGAAGAGCCGGCAGATGATGACCGAAAATCTGTGCCTTTGACCTTATTTGCTTCTCGTCGACTCAGACTGTAGTCTGAGCTCACAGATGGAATCCAATCTCAATGATGCGGAAATATGGATACACAGTTGCCATGTCATATTCACAAGCTCCACGAAGTCTTCGAACAAAGCAGGTGTCTGTGGTTCTCAGCCAAACAGTGAGGTTACGGTTGCAAGGAGATGTCAAGGTCTCCCCTTCAAAGTTCTGATGCAAGCAATTTGTGGGTTCGGTTGCTCTGGGGTCCTAGCTCCAATATCATCTCCTGGGCAGTAGGATCCGGATCGATGGAGTTGAGCACCTTGCGGGAAGGAGGCATCGGGAGCCACAGTAGCCGCGTAGCTCTTCGCCGCATCACTACTCCTAGTATGCCAGCAAGTCTTGTGGTGCAGCATAACCGCACGGACAGGGAACGATCCGCTTCTTGCGGGCCAGCACACGACCCCATTGACATGAGCACAACATCACCGTCACCGCTTCCTCGAATAAATTCGACTTCAACGAACAGCAGAAAAAAGCTGCTTCAGGGTTAGTAGCAAGTGCTTGCGCATGGTTTGCAATTTCGCTGCTTAATGCCAATGCCATGATCACATACCCTGCGAAGCCCAGCTGTGTGCTTGAATTGAACGGGAGATACCAGTGGTTGCTCATTTGGTACGGGATCCTTTTGCGGTCAGCTTGTGTCAAAGGCACAGATGGTATGACAGGTCGGTCGATGTTCACTACGACCTACGAGTTCCTAAATCTGATACAGAACGATGCGTTAATCCACACAATGAGTGACATACTGGCAGGCCCTGACCCGCCTGGTGAAGGTAGTCCCGGAAGACGGGAAAGTTGACTGGCTCCCCAGTAGTACTCAGGTTTCTGCGAAAAATGTCCTGAACCAGATATTAATATGAGCTGTAAAGAGTTCAATCGCTTCGACCAAAGTCGAGATGCATAAAGCCCCGACAAAACATGAAACTATGAACACACACTGGTCGAATGAACTCATGTGCAGTTCGCCACGCACGCCCCGTGAAACGAATGTTGCCGTCACCTTGCCCCGCACGCGTTTACAAGGGGATCGGGGGCTGCTGCTCGAGGTGGCGGTTTGTTGGTTTAGGTTTTTAGGGTTTAGGGTTTGGGATGGTGGAGGCGGTGGTGGTGGTGAAGTTGTGGTTGTGCATGTGGCGGAACCACGTTGGAACCACTTGTTCGTATGTATGCATGTGTGTACGTAATCTGCAACACCTGTACGTATAAGCTCATACAGTTGATCTTCTTTGCATATCAAAACGTGCACATGTCTTCGTCTACGTGTACGTAGGTGTATATCGGTCGGTACACGAACGAAGTCGAATACCTTGTGCCAGATTTCTTGCAGGATTAACGCAGATGATGCTCCTGGTACTTACTCTTGACCGCATCCAGGTCCGCGTTTCGACCATAGTGGAGCCTTGCATCCCGTGACGTGAGAAAGACTCATCATCTGTGCTCTGTATGCGGCAAGTCGGCAGAATAATTGAGCTCGTGGCAGAACAATCTTCTTGTTCAGCTGAATCAGTTCCAACTCCTGAGATTCTGCCATGGCAGAATTCGCAAGGAACGATAGACTGAAAGCCAAACCAACAACGTCCTCCAAGAGCCCATTCTTGTTCAGATCGTGAGCAGCAAAGAGCTCCTCGTGGGACTTATGCTGCTACCGGTGGAAGACTGTGTGGCTCATGGAAGGACCGAACCTCAAGCAGCGAGTCGCGACGAGGCTTGTTCATTCGGTACTTCTGGCGCTCGTCGGAGAAACTGGCCAGGCTGGTGGCGGACACAGAAGATCCCGTGGCTCTGTGCTAGCATCTAGGGCAGTCTCCTGACTTGTCCCATCATGACATGCATGACATGTGGTGAATGTGTGTTGAACATGGATCTCTTGCATGCAAGACCGTGCTACATGTAGGAACGACTGGGCACTTGACATCCCTGCATGGCCTTGCTTCAGCGCAATCGCATCGGGACTGGAATCCGCCTAACCCAAACTGGGTCATGCGATCTAGAGCATTTGCAAAGAAGTGAAGACAACTGTCAGGTTTGTGATCGCCAGCAGCGTGGAATCACCGCGAATCGTGGACTAAGCATTTCTGTGAGGAAGGTCGATGGGACACGTGTGAGATTAAAAAGCTTGCAAGACACTCACAGGCTCTGTGATGTGAGTAGTGGGGCTAACAGCCCGCTACGAGTAGACAGTAGACCGTCACCAGCTCCCTCAAACGTCTCTCGCCCATTTCACCCGATTCACAAACTCCGAAGCAGAGATCGCAAGCTTCTCCAAGGCCCCTCTCACAGGCCTGGATGCGGCTCACAGGCTTTTTGCAAGGCTTTCACCGGAACAACGAAGCATTTCGCTCCACTACAATTTTCAGGTTCCAGGGACGGGTGTTGAGCCGTATCAAGCCAGTCGGCCTAGATGGGTTCAACGTAAAGGGCTTAGGGTTTAGGGCTTGGGGTATAGTAGGACCACAAATCCTGAGGAGCTTGGGATGACTCCTTGACTCGACGGAACTCCGTCCCAGGCTCTGTCTCTTGCTGCTTCTCTAACCTAAACATGCCTGTGACACTCCCCGGTGCTGGGTCGCGTGCATGCGTCTGAATCCAGGATAGACTGCATGAAGCCTTCGTGAAAGCAGGCCGCATGACTCAGGAAGGTTCTTGTCTAAGGCACAGGTATGGCATCTGCCGCTTCCTTCTTAGTCTTGATTTCGGCAGTCTCCGCTGCAGGAAACTGAGTGTCAAAGGGCTCGTGCGCCCGATGCCTCCTCGCAGTTTACTCGGTGGCAAGCGGCGAGCCTCTGCGCGGGACAGTACCAAGGTTCAGGATTGCAAGACGCTCCAAGGACTGAGGCCAAAGGCCTTTGGCAGCTCGTTCTCGCCTGGGTGACATTCAACCAGTGCGAGGTGTGAGCCAGAAAATTTACCGAAGCAATCCCATGATTCTGAACAGCGCTTTCTACAGGAGCTGCAACCAAATCGACTTAGCAAGTGAACGAGGCGAATTCTCGACCAACTGAGATCGGAGCCAACACAATCGGCGATGGACGTCACGCCGCCCATCACTGCAGCCTGGCTTCCGAAGTTTGTGCTATTGCTCTCCCGATTTGTCTCAGGTGTTGCTCGGTTTTAGCACGACTTTCGTTTGCAAGCGTGAGACAACCAATTGATGATGGTAAGCGTTTGGCGGGCGGGGGATCTATGGAGTCTGTTGCAGGGGCTCGATGGAACACTAGAGCCCCATGAAGGTTGCAGCTCAACAACAACCGTCCGGTACCCGGTACCAGCATGTAAGCCCACCCTCAGGAACATTCAGCCTGCCAGTCTTGGGCTCGCGGGTTTCCGAGCTCATCAGACTTTGACTTGACTACAGCTATTTTCGGCTGTGCGTCTTTATCGGCTTATAAGCAGGATAAACATGCTCATAAAGCCGCATTCTATTTCTGAAGGCCCCACGCTTAAAACCTTTCCAAGTGAATAGGGCCCGTAATGTCTTGAGCAAACTCTTAAAAATCCCTATTCTGACTATTCTGCTTCTCAAGGCTAAGCCCTAAACCCTGCGTAATTTCCCCAGAACTGCAGGAAACGTTTATAAGACCGTATTCTAGTTCTTAAGGTCTTATTGAAAGTCCCGAAATCGGCATTCTTCTTCCAGGATTCGGTATTTAATTTAAGCAATGTAAGCTTTCGTACTAAAGGCTTATTTGTTTAAAGACCGTACCTGACTCAGTCCCGAAAGAGGCTTGTGCAAATTTCCGCGTGTGCATCCATAATTCTCAGCATAACTGTTCGGTCACGAGACTCAGCTTGGAGCTTCGCATCGTTCTTGATTGTTTAATTGCAGCTTTTTCAATGAATGTCCACTGCAATGTTGCTCTTCCATGGGGCATAGTGCTTTCGGCCGCATTATGCAGGAGTACTGTCAGTTAACCTTGTGAAGGTGTGAATCATACTTGCGACTGTTGACCTCCAACTTTTACCTTTTTGGTCACTGCGTAGAGCTTGCAGGCATCACTGCGCTCTGCTCGTTTTGCTCTCTACTTTCGTTGCGAGACTTGAAGTCGACGTGATTCAAAAACTACCTTCCATCTGAACCATCTTATCGTGACCCCCTCGACAAGCAAACGACAGTCCCCGGCATGCCTCTGGGCTACCACTAGAGGATCAGGAAGGGACGCTGAAGGCTTGTTGTAGAAGCCTCGAGTTTAGGGGTGTAGGGCGTCGGGACGAGTAGGGGCTCACGTGCACATTTTCATCGACTATCTCATCGCTGTTAATTATCCTTCCACCCTGCCACATGAATGGTTCAGACGAGCCTCGTTGACTTTGGAAGACGTGTCCTTGATGCAGGCTCACCGGGCAGAAGCCTAAGTGTCGAACCTGTCAGCGACAGTAGCGTGAACCTGTCTAGCGGGATCTGAGGTGCTCAGTGGATCGCATGAGTGCCTGGTCCTACCCCAGAGCTGCGGAAAGCCAGCAAGCGGGCAGCGAGCGAAACACTTTCACAACTGCAGCACAGGTTTCGGGACCCTTATATTTCGCGAGCCAGGATTTGCGTATCGGCAGCAAACTATGCCAAAGTCTTGAACGGGCCTATACCGGACCCTCCCCGACAAATCCCGAAGACACTCTTGGCCCTGACCAAAACCCTAAACCCTACCTAAAAGTGCTCGGAACATTCAGGACCAGAATTCTGCTTGGCACCTGAAACGGCCGAGCATAGTTCGGTCAAAGAACCTCGCTATCACGCCAAATGCTGGAAGTGATCTCCCACAATCATTTCGTAACCAAGCGATACCATGGATCCTGCAAGAACTTCGCTTGCAGAGTTTCTAGCTACTCTTGTGTGAAACCTTCGAGAGTGCTTCCAGTATCACACAGGTTCGCCTTTAAGCATTCATGCTTGTGGTAGCTCGTCTTCTTCGTACTTATGTAGCCCTGCGGTATCTACAGGCCATGTACCGTTAAGGATCAGGGCAACACATCGAAGTCAGTGGTTTGCTCCAACATGGTGAAACGCTTCAGCCGCGCCAGCAGATCGCTGCCGGGGCCGCTCTCCTCAACAGAAAACTGTCGGGTGCTGGTCTGAAATTCACGCATCCCCGGAAAGTTGCGTGGCAATGTTGCTCCAGCATGTAACAAAGCCTCGGCCTCAGAGACCGGCACTCACCCGCGCTAAGGCCACCACCAGAACGGTGTCCCACGAGCCAGATTCCTCGCTGGATTTCGTAGCAGCTGCGCTTACACTCTCAGAACCCCTACTGCAGCAAGTGCAGTTCTCTTGTATCCGGTCCTTCAAAGTGGCAGATTTCAAAGCTGCAGACATGGCCGGGGTGTCCGTCTGCACAAGCGGCGACAGATTTCGCAGGTCGCAGACAGACAGACAGACAGACACAGACACACACACACACACACGCACACACACACACACACACACACTCACACTCACTCACGCAGTTACACCTGAGATGCAACTAACAGCATCTCGCAGTACGCACAATGAAACCTTTGAGATGGAAGGGCCATGTGCAGAAGAGCCTGGAAGCGGCTGTGCAGTTCGTAGGCTAGCTTTGCTCCTCTGGCCTTCGACAGAACTCTGCCATGTCAACAAACTTACGTGAAGCTACGCAGAGCATCAGGGAGACGCATCACAAGAGAGGCGAACAGCCTACCCTGCATGCCACCGTCGTTTGCCGGCCTCTGATGGCCGGGAGAGCCTCCCTGAAAGGACGTGCACCTGGAGACAGGTGCGCACGGGCTGATGCAACAGCAACACACTCCCCAATGTGATGGCGGAAAGACGTTGCGGGAGCCTGAGATGCATCGTAGAACCTCTCCGATGCCGTTTCCCAACGAAGCTTCTCCTGCTGGGAGGCATGACAACAGGTTCTTGCATTTCTGACAGTTGGGTCTCGAATCATGTGACATCAGGGATTTTGCAGTCAGATCACTTCGCTTCACTGCAGGCTCTGCAGCTTTTCTGCCCTAACCCCAAAGGAGCCTCAGCTTCAGCAGGCAGCGGCGTTGGCCCCTCTGCGCCGAGAGCCGCCTGGCAAGTGTAGCAAGTCGCAGCGGTAGTGCTGCAGCGACACCAATCGAACGTGTGTCTGACTCCGCGACGTTTTTGGAGACAGACCTAGTTTTCTTGCTGCTCGGGGTCTTCGTTCCTTAGCCGTGTCGAGCGACATGCCGAGCAAGGAGATGGTCTTGCCTCTGCAAACGCCTTCGTAATTGATCCCACCGACCCACCACCGTGGCCTGTAGGGCCGCTTCAAAGGAGCCAAGCTCCTGACACACGAGGAGGTTCGGGCGGCAGGCTCTAGGAAGAGGGTGCACCGCAACCCTCTACCAACGGCTGGGAATGCCGGAGAGGGGCCCGACTTAGCAGGTTGTCCGGTGCTCTTGCTGCGCAGCTATCCGCCATCCAACGCCTGCAGGTCGAAGAAATGGCATCTGTCGGCGAAGTTTGCCTGTGATCGAGGAATGATCGGAGTTAAATCCCCGAAACGCAATCAACCGCAGTTCTGTTGAGTTGTCGGCAGAGCAAGCCCAAAGCCATGGCTGACCCCGAGTCGCTGAGAGGCCTTGAAGTACGCGTTGGACGAATGGTCGGGCAGCACCTGTCTGCGAGATAGGGAAACCACACGCATGCCTGTCGTGCACTCATATTCAAGTTCCATCCCAAGACTTGCAAGTGCATCGCCACGCTGCCAGTCGAGGCCACGACCACCCGCTTTCCAAGTGCCAGCGCCTCCGCCGTAACGGTGCCTCGGCGACTACGACTGTCCGAAACACGCCTTCAGCACTAACAACTGTGCGTTGGAAAATTCATGCAAATTAGTGCGTTGTTCTCCTTCGAATCTCGCAGCGAAGTTTGTGCCCTGCAGTCTTGAAGACATTTTCTCTCAGCTGCAGGCATAGCATCTCGGTCGTAGAAGGATTCAGGAGAACCTGCGTTGCAGGAGCAGCAGACTACTTCAGGGTGCAGACATGTGCAGCCAGTCACTCAATTCACGAGCTGCCTTGTACTGGTCGAAATGCTTGTCCGCATGGTCAAGGCCCGCAGACATGTTCATTACCCTCAGACAGGACCAAGCGAGAATACACGAAATGTGCTCCGTGACAGCGTGCAGCCCTGAATCAGGAGTACTGTCTTTAGCGGTCTACGAATCCGAGACTTCCGGCCAATGTTAGCAAGTAACATGCATGTCCCGAGGGCCATACGGATGATCTGTCTTGTGCTCCTCGTTCAAGGTCTGAACCATTGCTTGAATCTCCTGCTGATCACATCCACGTCCTTTGACCCATTACACACATTCGTCTTGCAGCGGTTGCATACTCATACTCATACTCTTACTCATGATACCAATGCTACTACTACCACTACCACTACCACTACCACTACCACTACCACTACCACTACCACTACCACTACCACTACCACTACCACTACCACTACCACTACCACTACCACTACTACTACTGCTGCTGCTGCTGCTGCTGCTGCTACTGCTACTGCTACTGCTACTGCTACTGCTACTGCTACTGCTGCTACTACTACTACTACTACTGCTGCGACTACCTCCAATTATTGCTACACCCCTACCCCCACCCCGAACCCTACCCCACCACCACTAAGTGAAAGACCCCTGAGCTGCTCCGGGCTGCACCACTGTCTACCCAGCTACCAGCAGTAGTAGTAGTAGTAGTAGTAGTAGTAGTAGTAGTAGTAGTAGTAGTAGTAGTAGTAGCAGTAGCAGTAGCAGTAGCAGTAGCAGTAGCAGTAGTAGTAGTAGTAGTAGTAGTAGTAGTAGTAGTAGTAGTAGTAGTAGTAGTAGTAGTGGTAGTAGTAGTAGTAGTAGTAGTAGTAGTAGTAGTAGTAGTAGTAGTAATAGCAACAGTAGTAGCACAGCGATGACAATGATGCCTGTGACAATATCGTCGACGACCACTTCTAGTACTCCTCCTCACCCTCACCTCCTCCTCCTCCTACTACAGACCACTACCACTAGACGATCACTACCACAACTACGACGCGACTGCGACTGCGACGGGGCGTGCGAGTGCGAGTGCTGGTGCTAGTGCTAAGGCTGCTAATGACCATGATGATCTCGAGCAACATCAACAAGATGAACTACCATGGCAAAAGTAATCGTATCAAGGACAATGATTGGCATCGCATCCACGGAAGATGTGTGTCCAAGGGTGGTATTCTACGTGAAGCAGCGTTGGTCTTGATAGTATCATTCCTGCATTGCCAGAGCTGTGGTAGAACGCGGAAGGACTCTGCAAGTCCTAAACCAGCTTCGACGGGCAGAAAGGATGCTGAACAGACCAGCTTGCCGAATGTTACATGTCAACTCGCTTCAAAATGCCTCTGCATCCGCACCAGATCCGAAGCCATCCACGGCGAAGTCAGCCCAGCCCTCGTCTTCACGATGCTTGGAGAAGGCTGGCCCCAGGTGTACAATCGACTCCGTGAAGCCTAAGGAGGTCTGGGCCCGTCTTCCCCGCCGGCAACTGTATTTACATCCTATCGATCGGGTTCTCGCAAGTTCTGACAAAGGCCTCTCCGGTGGGCAATTTGCCCAGCAGCTTGATCAGTCTGACCTAAGATGGCAGCAACGTTGCCTCATGACATGATCGAATACGATGACGACAGAGTAGCAAGTGCAAGCACATGAACGGATCTGACTTCCTCTACTGTGCTTAGTGCTCAAGGGCTTTAAATTTAGGGTTGCAGCGTCATCTAACTAGGCTCCTGGCCCATCCCTTTGGCTTGACAGCCTTGCCGATGAAATAAACCTGGTTGGCCTCAGGTCGGCTGCGGTTCCGTTATCGACGGCACGCCGATGGTTCATGCTTCACAGTGTCTCGCTTTTCCCTTGTCTGTTCGGCTCAGTCTGACAGTGACAGACATGGTGGCGGCATCTGAAGTTTTAGATAGCAACACGATTGGCTTCCCGTTGGGAAACGCTTCTGCTGATTGAATTGCATGAATGTGACGGGACGTCGTGGTCTGCACGCCATGACCAAATTTCCGGTGCAAATTTCCGGGGTGCAGCCCACTTCAGCTTCCTTGTTCAGGTCTCGAAGGATTAGCAAAGTCTGAAACAGGTTCCTGAGGGAGAAGCACAGCCGACACCGAGGACTTGCTACAAGCAAGGTGGACACCGAAACAAACAAAAACGGTGCTCGCTCCCCCATGTAACCGCGCTGGCTAAGTCACATCATGTGACAGCTATTGCCCTAGTGATAGCAAGCCTGTTCAACTCTGTACTGTGCTTCTCTAGAAAACACCACAGAACTGTGTACTTCTCGTCTAAAAGAACCGCTCAACTCTGATATTCGTTGACATCCCGTTCAACTCGGCATTTCTCTCCAGCAGGGCATGAAATGCCGGAGCTTACGGGGATTCTGCACTTGAGGAGGCACAATCAAGGAGTGTGCCCTGCGCCGATCAGGGTGACGGAAACCCTTTTGGCAATAAAACATCATTTGAGGCTTACTAGATATATTATCATATGTCTGCTCCGTGGATGTCGTGCATGGCTGCTAGATTGCTACTGCGACGGGTGAAAAAAGCTGAACACCCTTCAATGTAGATGCTCGAGTTGGCAATATCCTATACAAGGAACACGTCAGTGGAATCGCAAGCACACTGAAGACAGACATAATTGGACAACTGCCCAAGAAACCAGCTCCGCTGGAACATCAGATAGGCACTGCGAACTGAATTACCCAGTGTCGATGCCGATCGATGTCAGCAAAACCATCTCTGCTACGACATCAGAAATGCGCTGAAATCTGCCTTCCCGCTGTGTGGACTCTGGTCGATGTGAAAAAACCCAGCGATGCGAGAAAAATGCACTCAATGTAAGGGGGGTTTTGCATCAGAGTGGTTTTACCACTGTGATCGCGGAATGTTAATCACGACATATGGTGCCACCTTCACCCAAAATACGCACTGATGTGCTGACATGCGTTACGACTTTGGTAGTGCCCTGTGCACCAGAAAAACATGCAGGGCTTCAATCGCTCAAGCGCACTGTTGACTATGCAGCTGTGGGAGCTGCGAATGGGACATGCAAAGCGAGCATCGGGGCAACTTTTCATTGCCAGGGTCCCGCACGCTCTTCTGGGGCTTCAGGCGCAGCCTCTTCCGCTTCACATCGGCCTCAAACCCCCACTGGCCCCAAAAAAGCCCGTTGGAAGGCAAGAAGAATGACACACTTTCGCTTCTTCCCCCTTTGGTCCAGCTCCGGGTGCCCGCGCGCGCCGCGCGCCCTCGAAGAACTCCTTCCGCACCTCAAAAAGCAGATGCGGAGGAGGTGCAGGAACTGTGGGAGAAGTGATGCTCCGAGAAGCTGAATTGTGGAAGCCTGCAGTTGGAAATCCAGAGGTGATTCTGTGTGCACCTATCTGCTGGTTTCTTCCTGTGGCATGCAGAGCCGCAATATGCTTAAATGATTTTGTTTCCTGGTTGACTGCTGTCTGAATCGCAAGGTGCCGAGAAAGAATGCCGGGGCACGCTCAAACTCAAACGTGCCTGCTTCGCATCTCGATGCGCAAAAACCAGTGCACCGAAGCATCTCCTCAGCATAAGTGCCTGACACCATGCACGTTGTATTTCACCTGTCCAAGCACATGTTGCCAGCATGTTTGTTGGGCACCTGGCTACCAGCCTCGTGCAAAATTCGAGAATGAATCTTAAGTGACCCTCGGCTAGTTGTCCATTGCTCTGGTAGGCAACCTTGCTGGCATGAAGCTTGCGCATTGGCACGACGGCTTTCGGTGCTCGCAGGAAGTGGCAGGTTTTCTCGATCAATGCTTGTACTGCGGTCTGTACTGCAAGCCATGAAAACGTGTAATCGCGTAACACCCGATGCACCTCGTTCGGAAGAGACATCCCTGCTGAGGAGAGCTTGATGGTCACATCACAGTACGCGCTGCAGACCTCGACTAGGCAGCCCGGGTAGAATCAACAGACACAGTCTTCCTTACGAGAGCCGTGCATCGTGCCATCGCTTCCAGCGTAATGTGCAGAATGCCAGCACACCGGCTTCGCCATCACCATGTCAAGGAGTAATCGAATGCAAAAGCCAAGCCACCGGCCATCGTCGTGAAGGTTGAGAACAGGCTATCGCGGATCGTGGCACCTGTTTCATGCGCGTGCGAGCCTTTCAGGCATCAATCCAGCTTACGAAGCATCCCCGAACCTAAAACCTCAACTCCCTACGGCCCTGCGACCCAGGCAAGGGTGGTTTCTTGGGCTCGCGCTGCTCATCAGTCCCTCGTACTCCATTTTCTCCAGATAGGCCTGGCCGCCACACATTGCCTTGGCCTGGCCTCGAAGAGATCTTAGTATTAGTATCAGTGTCAGTATTAGTCTTGATATAGTATTAGTACTGGTTGTAGGCCGATATAGAACATAACCCCTCTTACGAACTGTACAGTGATGAAGCATCCATCCACGCTTTGCCTTAGCTGTGCTATCTGCTATCTCCTGCCTGGTAGTTGGTATGCACCACGCCAATCACATGACGGTAGAGCTCGGTCCACCTCCATGTCTCCAAAACCGCACAATACTACAGACATGATCCTGCAGACATTTGCAGCCGCTGCTGCGAGGGCTGCGATGAGGGCAGCTAGGCTCACAGCATCTTTCAAGGTAGGTCATGTCTGGGCCAAGGCAGCAAAGCTGCGCAATCCACCGATGCGTCCTTCTCTTGCCCTTCACCGATTATCATCAACATCCCCTCAGATTCAGAGTACTTTTTGCATTGTTCGGCACTGTCCCTTCTGCATTTAAGGTCGGGATGCGCAAGGCAACGTCTGCACTTGAAGGCCTCAGCCCTGCTCATAAGCACGTTCAGCTGTTCGGGTACAGTTGGTCACGACTTCTTCAAAACAGTCGATGTCCCAACGTCTGTCACAACACCGGAGTTTCCAGCACCCACTACCGCAGGATTCACAGGATGGGTCTGGGTCGTAGGGCTTCCTTCGATTGCTAGGTGACTTCCGTCTTCGAATTTTAGGGGGAAGCTTCGAGCCTTGGCTCGTAGCAGGAGCTGCTGCTCTGTGCGCTGCTGGTGCGACTGTACTGTAGATTGACGTGCAGGAACCCGTCAATGACGTTCGGGCCCTTCCTCATGCTGCGACCTACCTATGCCACGACGAGATCATGGCGTTCCGAACCTGCACATCCTTACAACCCGCCTCTGCACTGCTTCCTGCACGACTCAATGCTAGCATTCTTGAAGGCCACGTGGACAGCCCATCTCCTGGATTTCGTCTTCATCCGATTTGAGTTAATGCGGCACACACGGCCGTCGAAGAACAGATCCAAGTATGACTGCCTCGCTTCGGATATGTGGCGTCCCACCGCATAATTGAAACACTTTTTCAACTATCATGGCCCTGCCAAGTACAATAACCAAAGCCGCTCACACTCCAGGAGCAACATCCTGGGGGAGTCTCGGGCTTTGTTGCAGATCTTCGTTGGCTCGGTGCCCACCTTGCCTCTATAGCTCTTATCGCTAAGTGACGAAGATGCTGGCCAGCGGAAGTCACTACTTAGTACTCCCCGGATACAAGGCTGGGTTGAAGATCCACACTAAGCAAGCTGCTGGTCAGCAGCCATCAAAGGACACGGAGATGCGGAAACGTTCTCGAAAATGCAGAGCTGTACTAGCTTTCTAGGAAAGTCATTGACCTTGCGCTGCGAAATGATCCTAGAAGGCAAGCAGCTCATGACATCTGGGAAAATGATCCCAAAAGCATAGACTTCGTGCTATACATCTGGATTGGAATGGTCCTGCAACGCCGGTGGTCAGTGAAGAGGAGTCGGAGAATGCATGCACTTTCAGGAAGGGGCATCACGATGTGGGTAGGTGCGCCGGGCATCTCTGTGCTTGCCCTACTGGAGCCAACCACCGCTGCGGGGAAGGAAAATTGACCAATGCTCTGCTGAATTCCGGCACTGCCTGTGCTGTGCTGGTGGCACACTTAACTTCAAACGGCTGCGCAAAGTCACCTATACTCCGGACGTGCAGGCAGGTTTCAGCAGCAAACAAATCTACCCATGCCTATATCACAAGCTCCTGTATACAGCTTAGAACAAGTGCGCTGCAGAAGCCTGCACATGATTGTCGATGGGCTTCAACAGTGTTCCACGCGGCATCAGGGATTGAACTCTGGCTCAGCTCCGAAAAAATTCTCCGAAAGAGTGCCAAGCATGTATTTCGACTGCATCGACAAAGCAAAGCCAATGGCCAAGCGACAAGAGTCCATCTGATGGGCTAGTAACACAGCACAATGCCACGGCTGCCATCATGGCATGGGCGCACACACAAGACGGAGTAGTGTTCTCAGGCTTGGCCACAACATGTTGGCCACCAGGAGTGCCCAAACGTTGCTGTGCTGGATGTATCTGCAATGCTAATTCAGGTTCGTGCGCGTGAGCAGCGGGGCCACAATGCGGTGGTGTTGAATGGAAGACACCATTACTAAGAAACCTATGCCGACTGGTCCATCGATAGCCGTAGCATTGAATTAACTTGCACCACCAATGCTAGTCAGGTCTGCATCATGCTCCCCGCTGCCATGATTGCGATCATGCTAAATGAGCGCCTTCGGCAAAGCAAAATCTGGGGCCTGCAATGCATCACAGGTGTAGGCCTCAATATCACTGCCTAACCTGCAACTCTCTTACCATAGCGGTGTGGGAATAGGTCTGCAACCTGTTATGTAAACTCATGACTCATGACCTACACCTGCAGCATGGACAGTACGGATGGAACCGATTTCATTTTGTCCTCGGAGTAGAGAAACATGCAAAGAGTGAGGGCAGTAGTCCTTGCCTCACAGTCTCCCGCTCCCTGGACGAAGCTTTTGTCGAAGTGCAGAGCGTCTTCGCCTGTTGGGATTCGAGAACACGGGACGTTTCGATACCAGGAAGCTCGGATATACCAACGGCTGAACCGCAGCAGAGTTCCACACTCCTCAACTTGACGTGACTAAGGCACACACCGACTGTCCCGGCGTGACTTGTCGCTTGATTTGACCTTGCGGGTTCTGGTGTTGGATGCTCCGCCGGTGTCGCTACATCGACAACGTCGCTTCGAAGCTTCATCAGCCATGCTTCAAGACCGGTCTGGCAGAATTTCGATCTTCAGACCTGTATGCAACACTTTGAACGTCCTGCAATCCCTGTAGCATTTTCGCAGAAGGGTCATCGTCACTGTCCAACCCGAGGCTCCGGAACTACCAACGGTCTAACTCGAGCAGTTCCAAAATTTCTGCGCAACGTGGCTCCGTTCTCTCCGTCGATGTCCTCCTTTCTCGACATTGCGGCTCGTCGAACGGCCTCCCAGCTTTCCGCTGTTAAGAAACTTTCCATGTGTTGTCTCCAAGCTGCAGCAAGGGCTTGTTTCATAGGTCGGTACTGGTTCAGTGCAGAAAGTAGCGCATAGCATAGCCCCTGTACCAGCCGTAGCACAAGCCTGACGACTGAAAGGCTTCATCAGTTCTCGAGATCGAGAGCACGGCTACCTACTTCCCACATCGCGAAGCCTTGTTTGCTGACATCCTGTCTGGAGGAGCTCATGCTTCTTGAAGCACTCACGGTCCTCGGAAGCAGTGCAGGCTGTGAGATATGGACAGATAGGAACTTGAATAGATGCATGCCGTCTGTTTCATACATGCACACGCATATGTTGCGAACAGGCACAAAAACGGATCTGCCTGTTTGTCTGTCCGTCCGTCGGTCGGTGTGTCGTCTTCTGTCTCCGTCCATCTCCGTCTGTCTGCCTCTGTCTGTCTCTGTCTGTCTCCGTCTGTCTCTGCCTTTTCTGTCTGTCTCTGTCTGTCTCTGTCTATTTGCTTGCTTGCATGTCTGCCTGCCTGTCTGTCTGTCTGTCTCTGTCTGCACGCATGGATGGTTCGATGTATGCTGTATGCATGCATGTATGTATATGTAGTGGCAGCGTACCTCACGGGTTTCCGCTTTCCTTTTAGGTGATTGGTTGGGGGCGATCACAGAGACTCACGAAGGGCTTACTAGTATGAACCAAAAACTTGCGGAGGAGGGACTGGGACGAAAGCTAGAAGCGTCAACAACCGAGGCTTTTCCAGTGAAGGCAAGCATGCATACACGCCGACTGAACTCCAAATACAGAAACCCTAACTCTTGAACCCCTCGAATGAGCACCAATACCATCCCCCTCAATGCGGGTGACACCCACCGGGCCAAGCCATGCTCTGCTTGCGCTTCTTGTTCGTCGAGATGCAGCTGCTATTACATATGACTGTGTATTCGAGTACTAGTATAGTAGGAAATTATGAAATGGTAGAAAAACAGTATATGGAAGAGGTTGGATCAGAGCTTCATGCACACACATATATATATGTACATATACAAAAACATACCATAACTTACTCCCCCAATAGCCACAGAAATAAAAGGTTAAACTTTCAAACTACTGCTAAACTATAAGAACCCCAAAAGTTTAAACGTTTTGTATTGGAGAACTAAGATAAATACATGTTATATATGCCTAGAAGCCAATCGCTTCAGGTCGGGCGCCCAACATAGAACAAGTACGCGACGCGTGAGCGGAGCCAGCAAGCCACATCGTGAACATCACTGGGGGCCTCTTGGATCCCAATCCGAGCCAACAAGCACGGAAATAGTAAAAAACAGTATATGGAAGAGGTTGGATCAGAGCTTCATGCACACGTAAATATATATATATATATATATATGTATATATATATATATGTACATATACACAAACATACCATAAATACATGTGTATATCATGCCTAGAAGCCAATGGCTTCAGGTCGGGTGCCCAACATAGAACAGCGGAAATGGTAGAAACACAGTATATGGAAGAGGTTGGATCAGAGCTTCATGCACACGTATATTTATCTATATGTACACATACACAAACATACCATAAATACATGTGTATATCATGCTTAGAAGCCAATGGCTTCAGGTCGGGTGCCCAACATAGAACAAGTAGGCGACGCGTGAGCATCATGAGCTGCAAGCATCATAAGCGTCGGAGCCAGTAAGCGCACATCGCGAACATCATTGGAGCCCAATCCGAGCCACAAGCCCGCATCACGAGCATCATTGAAAACTTCTTGGGGCCAACAAACGTGCATCATGAGCATCATCGGGGAGCCGTTTTTCCACTCGGAAGCGGTCCGAAGCACCACATTCAAACACCCCAAAACGGACCCGGCGGGGAAACGCAGAAAACCAGCACCAGGTGGGGGATAGCCCCGAATACGCGCAAAAAAAGCCCACCTGGCCGGGGGCCCTTCCCCACACCCCTAGATGCAACCTTTCGGTTGGTAAGGAACTCAGCTAGCCACGGAGGCTAGCTTTCGTGATAATGCTGGAGCTGGGTTGTGCCCCATGTCCAAACAATGATAGCAAAACGTCTGACGGCAAACATCAAGCCGAAAAAAAAACAAACCAAAGCACAACAACATACAAACTCCGAGCCGAAAAGACTACATATCCAAAAGAAACAACAAACTAAACC